TTTTGCTCTACTGAGAATATGAACCCATAATATCTAATATTTATTATAACCAGAAATATACAAAAGAACTGTTTTTAATAGTATGTCAGTCCTGTGAAACAGGGCAGTTCTAGATGATTCAAGAGGAATTGCTCCAATGAGTTTGGAAGGAAATACAAGTTATCAGCGTTTTATCTAAATCATACTGTTTTTTTTAATAGTTTAGATAATTTTAGAGACTATAGCAGCTCTGTAGCACTGTCCTCCTGTTGTTCATCAATTTGCTCAAGCGGGCACCAGTAACGTCTCCATTGTGAAACTTGTTGTTACTGTTTTTGGCATATCGAATACACCACAGGGAGCTTTCCAGGCTCTGCCGTGTGGGCGGGATACTCTTGGTAGCTTTCTGGGCTCTCTGAGAGGGACAGAGGAATTGAACCCAGGTCAGCCGTGTGCAAGGCAAATACCCTACCCTGCTGTGCTATTGCTCCAGCCCATTTTAGAAACTGAAATGGACAAATGCCATTAGTAAAGGTTAAGATTGGTGAATGGTAAAGTTAAAACGTGCAGATTTTGATCTGAGAGTAGTGCCTGATTGTGATACTGGCCACAAAAAGAAAACTCATGTTGGTAAAAATAGTATTGAAAAAAACTGCTTCTTGATATGAATGGTGATTAAGTGTTTCATGCAAAATTGTTGAAAAATACTAATCTTGAGTAAAATAACTTTAGGTGACATACTAAGGAGATAATTTGAAAGAAAAGCTTTGTGTGTTTCTTGGACCACCTTCAGTGGAGTCCAGGGGCTACTTACAGTCTGTTGTATGCGGGACCATGTGGTGTGAAGGATCATTTCTGAGACGTCTTCATGTGAAGCATGCGCTTAAGTCTGTTAAGATATCTCTGACCAAATAATTTGAAAACTTGAGCATCATTGTGTATTACACTGATCAAAAAATTGAATTAAGAGGCTTCACTTCAGAATTTTAAGAAAGAATCTATTAGTAAAAACAGAATTCTTGTCTATAAAGATATTTTTATTAATATATCACGCTGTCACACTGTCCTCCCATTGTTCATCGCTTTGCTCGAGCGGGCCCAGTAACGTCTCCATTGGAGACTTTGTTGTTACTGTGTTTGGCATATCGAATATGTCACGGGGAGCTTGCCAGGCTTTGCCTTGTGGGCGAGATACTCTCAGTAGCTTGCCAGGCTCTCTGAGAGGGGTGGAGGAATCAAACTTGGGTCGACCATGTTGGCTGTGTGCAAAGCAAACGCCCTACCCGCTGTGCTATGGGCTGGAGCGATTAATATGCCAAAGATTAAAAATAAATTTTGTGGGTTAAAGCTAAAGTATCAGAGAATTTAAGTCCACCCTGTAAAACTCGCCTTCTAAGACATTTGGATGAATGGAAACACAACTCTGCAATGTGGTATTATTTCACCAGTATGATTTGTTATTTTTCCTTTCTACTGTTATTGTTCCTTTCTTCAAGGTAAATGTCATTTTCTGAGGACAAATCAACTTCCATCAGCTCTGTCTATATACATACAGTTCAAGTCTGTACTATGGGGATGACTTTTCATCATTTGGAATAAGATCAGATGAGCAGCACTGGGCCAGCTCATTCAGAAGTCTAACATCATCCTGGCACTAATGAAAGCAAATCCTGTTGTTTATATGAGCATTCTTCTTTCCAGTGATGAAAGAATCACTGACTACAGAGGCCTACATCTTGCCCTTTTCAGAGATGTGGAAATTGAGAAAAGGAAGCGAGGGAATAAGGGTTTCTCAATTTTTTAGGACTACAGCTAATTATTAGTGGATCTTACACTAGAATCTAAGCTTCCTACCATACTACACTACTTCATCAGTAACTCTTAACTGGATCGTCTCAGAAGTTCATACCAGACTGTGGGTTCTGATGTATTCAATATTAACATTGAAAATATCTACATGAGGAGAATCTGGCGATATTTGCTTAATGTCTTCAAGGTATTACAAGTAATATTTTTTTGCTGAGGAAATCTTATACATTGTTGTTTCCTATCACATATATCGACTTACTCACTGACCTGAGGCATTTTCATGGAATCAGGGATTCTCCAGGAATCTAGTCTAGCATGCCAAAAATGTTGATGCATGAGTAAATGATTGAGTTATTATGAAAGGCAACTACCAAAGAAAACAATGACCAAAATTAAAAAAGATACTGCAAATTAGGCAAGGCATGCAAAAGCAATGAAACTTGAAAGAGCTACAGCTGGCTTAGAACAGGCAGGAGTTTGGAAGTTGGACAGACTTGGGTTTCAACACTTGCTTTGTTATGTTATGGGTCTATCGCCAAAATCTCTGCACTTTATTTCCTCTGGTTATAATATGGGATAATGACAACCGGTCCTGAAAGCGTTTTGGTCACACAGGAACAAATTGCAGTTTCAGGTACTTCTTCCCATATTAAGATTTAGCCTTGGAGCAGCAATATTTCAGTTAGGGTTGACAAGATTCAGTCTCATTTTTACTTCAATGAATCTCATTTCCATCCATATATACATATATATATATATGTAGAGAAAGAGATACAGCTTCAATTTTATATATTGAATTTATATATATATATATATATATATATATATATTGGACTGGAGCGATAGCACAGCAGTAGGGCGTTTGCCTTGCACACAGCCAACATGGCTGACCCGAGTTTGATTCCTCCGCCCCTCTTGGAGAGCCCGGCAAGCTACCGAGAGTATCTCCCCTGCACGGCAGAGCCTGGCAAGCTCCCCGGGACGTATTCGATATGCCAAACACAGTAACAACAAAGTCTCACGATGGAGACGTTACTGGGCCTGCTTGAGCAAATCGATGAACAACAGGAGGACAGCTATATATATTAAATAATTTCCTGCAAAAATTGAAGCCGCTTTTTAATTTTATTTTTCCCTCTGTTTTGGTTTCTGTACAAGGGCCACACCTGGCTGGGGTGGGTGAGGAAAGAAACCAGTGGTGCCGGGAACTGAACTATTGACTTGCATGTGCTCTACCATTTGACCACTCCTGCAATCTCCCCATCTTTGTATCTTAAACAAGATCAAACTATAAACCGTGACATCAACAGATGTTTTGTAAATGACACATTTGAAACATGATACCGAAGCTTCCTACATACATTAACAATAAAAATTCATCTCAAAACTTGCCATAGGAGGCTGGAGCGATAGCACAGCGGGTAGGGCGTTTGCCTTGCACCCTGGCTGACCGGGGTTCGATTCCCAGCATCCCATATGGTCCTCTGAGCACTGCCAGTAGTAATTCCTGAGTGCCAAACCAGGAGTAACCCCTGTGCATCGCCGAGTGTGACCCCAAAAGCAAAAAATAAATAAAACACTTGCCAGAGGGGCTGTGGGGTGGGGGGAGAGTGATAGTACAGAAGGTAGGGCATTTGCGTGGCACGTGGCATCTCACATGATCCTCGAACCTCACCAGGAGTTATCACTGAGCACCGCCAAGTTGTGGCCCCCAAAGAAAACCAAAACAACCTGTCGCTCTCCCCCCACCCCCCAAAAAAATAAAACCCCTTGACAGTCAATGCGCTTCACTTAATTTTGCATTTGGAGGATTGCTAGGACCAAGTCAACTTCCTGGGCTAGGAATCTATACTTTTCCCACTCCCTAAACACCCTCCTCTGCGTCTGTTAGCTGGAGGTAGGGAGCGAGGGAAGGAGGAGAGAGAGAATCATGCTTGAGCAAGGTCGAGGGAGCATCAGGGGATGACAGACAGAAGAGATGACTGCTACCCACAGAAAGGAAGGCCCAGCCGAGGAGGAGCGCGCGGCAAGGGCGAGAGAGAGAGAGAGAGCGAGCCACGGTGGTACTCACCGCCGCCCACCACCAGGCGTGCGGGTTGCTGGTAAAGTTGGTGCCGGGCACGTCGTGCTCCACGGAGTAGGCATACATTAACAATAAATTCATCTCAAAACTTGCCATAGGGGCTGGGGGGGGTTGGCAGAGTGATAGTACAGAAGGTAGGGCATCCGCGTGGCACGTGGCATCTCATATGATCCTCACCAGGAGTTATCACTCAGCACCGCCAGTTGTGGCCCCCAAAGAAAACCAAAACAACCCCTCGCTCTCCCACCTCCCCCCAAGAAAAACCCCTTGACGGTCAATGCGCTTCACTTAATCTTGCATTTGGGGGATTGCTAGCACCAAGTCAACTGCCTGGGCTGGGAATCTATACTCTCCCACTGCGTCTGTTAGCTGGAGGTAGGGAGCGAGGGAAGGAGGAGAGGGAGAAACCAGGCTTGAGCAAGGTCGAGGGAGCATCAGGGTTCGACAGACAGAAGAGATGACCGCCACCCACGCAAAGGAAGGCCCGGCCGAGGAGGAGCGCGTGGCAAGGGCGAGGGAGAGAGAGAGAGAGAGCGAGCGAGCCGCGTCGGTACTCACCGCCGCCCACCACCAGGCGTGCGGGATGCTGGTGAAGTTGGTGCTGGGCACGTCGTGCTCCACGGAGTAGGCATACATTAACAATAAATTCATCTCAAAACTTGCCATAGGGGCTGGGGGGTTGGCAGAGTGATAGTACAGAAGGTAGGGCATCCGCGTGGCACATGGCATCTCATATGATCCTCACCAGGAGTTATCACTGAGCACCGCCAAGTTGTGGCCCCCAAAGAAAACCAAAACAACCCCTCGCTCTCCCACCTCCCCCCAAGAAAAACCCCTTGACGGTCAATGCGCTTCACTTAATCTTGCATTTGGGGGATTGCTAGCACCAAGTCAACTGCCTGGGCTGGGAATCTATACTCTCCCACTGCGTCTGTTAGCTGGAGGTAGGGAGCGAGGGAAGGAGGAGAGGGAGAAACCAGGCTTGAGCAAGGTCGAGGGAGCATCAGGGTTCGACGGACAGAAGAGATGACCGCCACCCACGCAAAGGAAGGCCCGGCCGTGGAGGAGCGCGCGGCAAGGGCGAGGGAGAGAGAGAGAGAGAGAGCGCGCGAGCCGTGTCGGTACTCACCGCCGCCCACCACCAGGCGTGCGGGATGCTGGTGAAGTTGGTGCCGGGCACGTCGTGCTCCACGGAGTAGGCGGCCGCCGAGAAGGCGAAGACCCCCAGCGCGATGAAGAGCAGCAGGCAGCCCACCTGCTGGTAGCACTGGCGCAGCGTGAAGCCGAAGGCGCGCAGCCCCGTCGAGTGGCGCGCCAGCTTGAGGATGCGGAGGACGCGCAGGAGCCGCGTGACGCGCAGCACCTGGCCCACCTGGCCCACGCGGCCCACGGTCTCCAGCTCGTGCTCGCGGGGCCGCTCCTCGCCCGCCACGGCCTCGAGCAGCAGCTGCAGGTAGAGGGGCAGGACGGCCACCAGGTCCACCAGGTTGAGCGCGCTGCGCGCGAAGCGGCGCGGGTCCGGCGTCGAGGCGAGGCGCAGCAGGAACTCGAGCGTGAAGAAGCCCATGCACAGCAGCTCCGCGTGCTCCAGCAGGGCCGGCCGCGGCCCCTCCACGGTGCTCAGGGCCAGGGCCACCACCGAGACCAGCACGAGGAGGCTGGAGGCCACGCCGACCGCCTTGGCCGCCGCCGACGAGAAGGGCTTCTCCAGCAGGTCCCAGAGGCGCTGGCGCTGCGCGCCCAGGCAGCGCGCGTCGCGGAACAGCTCGCCGGCCTCCTCGGCGCGCGCCTGGGCGCGCAGCTCGCGCTGGACCTTGAGCTGCTCGGCCAGCTCGTCCCGCCGCTCCTCGAAGCAGATGCGGCAGCAGCGGGGCGCGTGCCGCAGCCGCACCCCCCAGTAGCCCAGCTCCTCCAGGAAGCCGCGCGGGCACAGCTCGTCGCGCACCAGCAGCACCCCGGACGCGTAGAAGTTGCACACCAGCTGGAAGACGGCCGGGTCGCGGTCGAAGAAATACTCGGCCGTGGCCTCCTCGAAGTCGTCGCACAGGCCCCGCTGCCCGCGGCGGCTGGGCGCGGTCACCAGGCGGCCCAGGCGCGTCCGGGGGTGCCGCGCCACCGCGCCGCAGTCCAGCCGGTAGCTCTGGCCGCCCACGTTCACGTGCAGCGTGGACCCGGGCGCCCGCAGGTCTGCGCCGTCCTGGAGCTGGGACGTGGGTTCGGCCGGCGGGTCCTCCTCGGCTGGGTCGTCCTTCCATCCCTGCATCCACTCCTGCATCTCCTCCTCCTCCTCCTCCCCGTCCTCCTCCTCCTCCTCCTCCTCGATGTAGTAGTGGTAGTTGCCTTCGGTCCAAGGGGTGATGCTGGCCTGGGACCCGCTGCGGCCTCCCGAGGAGCCGATGCTCCCACGGTGCTGCTGGCTGGCCCCCGCGTGCGGCGGGACCTCGCTGTCCGTGGTGCTCCAGGGCCTGGAGCCCCAGGAGCGTCGCCTCTCGCTCTGTTTCAGCATGCTCGGAGCTGCTCCTGTTCGCCTACCCGGGGGTCCCCAGCCTGCCCACAGGCACCAGGAGAGCCAACGATGAGCTCTGAGCTGCCTCAAAGAGAAGCGCCTGGACCAGGAGGCCTGGTATCACTGCCTTTAGAGCTGCGTCTTCAGCCTGTCTGTCTCAGGGGGTCTGAGCACCAATGCCCATGGCTGTCCACTGCTCTAATCTTGCCACTGGGGAAGACGCAAGTGTCAGGAGGGATTTAGAGCCTCTTAGCCTGTGTCCTGACAGAGCTCTCCAGCGGGTGACGCAAGGATGATTACGTGCGCTCAAATCTACTGGTAATCAGATCATCAGAAGAAGGCAGAGATTATTGCTAATAACAGCATCGCTCAACTCCTAGAAAATGTGCTGGTGTGTGCATGCCGAGATCAGATGGACTAAATTTGCTACCGAACATGGATCTCTGTCTTGGAGCGTAACTGCTGTGACCGTAGTCCGACCTAGCAATTCCTCTAAGCAGGGTGGGGTGGAGTGAAAATAGCCCCAGAATGCTAAAAGTGGGCTTTATGATGACTTTTTCTCTCACTATAAATGAGATCCCAAATAATCTTTCCTAGCCTGCTTACATGGAACTAAGAAAGCAGATTTCATTCACACGATCATTTTGTTTTAATCTTTTCTCAAATGGATCTTCCTTGGTATCCCTGCTATGGAGTTTTGTCTTTAAGATTCTATCTGATCTTTATTTTTGTTGTGAGGTGGGGATGGGAGGCACCTGGCAGTGCTCAGGACTCATTCCTGCCTCTGCACTCAGGGATCACTCCTAGTGGGTTGCTGGGGACCAGATGAGGTACCAGGTATCAACCACATGCCAACCACATGCAAGGCTTACCCACTGTACTATCTCTCCTGTCCCAGATTCCGTCCAATCTTTAATATGCTTTCTTCCTCTTTCGTATTCCCTTCCTCCTTTCTCTTAAGAATAAGGACAAGTAATTGTGGTGTATATACACAATGGATTATGTTGCCCTAAGAAACAAAAATCATGAAGCAATATGGATGGAACAAGAGAATGTCATGCTGAGTGAAGTCAGAGAGAAAGGGATAGATACAGAGCGATCTCTCTCATACATGGGATTTAAAGATACACAGTGAGGTAACAACAAAGGGTCAAAGTAACACATCACAGGAGAACTGATGGAGGTGGAAAAGGGAAGGAAAGTAGGTGAAAGAAAGGGGTGTTCACAAAAGGAGAGAGAGAACAAAAGGGAATGCCCTGCCACAGAGGCAGGGTGGGATAAAGGGGATGGGAGTGGGTGGGAGGGATACTGGGATCTGTGGTTGTGGGAAATGGGCACCAGTGGAGGGATGGGTACTCGATCATTGTATAATTGAAACCCAAGCACGAAAATTTGTACCTCATGGTGTCTCACTAATAAAAAAAAAGAAAGGGGTGTTTAGGTCCTTGGCGGAGAGGAGAGGGCACGCTGGTGATGTGTGGTGTTGGAATTATTTGCCTAAGAAGCTATTATTCATAGTATTGTCAATCACAGAATCTCAATAAAATTTAAAAAAATAGTTAAACAAAATCTAGTAAAACTATCAAAATCGGAATAAACTGACTTCTACTCATGTTCAAAAAATAAGGTAGACTCTTTTATGATAGAAACTCACATCAACAGGTGTTCTTAGGTCTGTGCAGCTCTCCTGTGCTGCTCCAGAAGAGTCCTATCACTCTACTTGTAAAGTCATCTACATAAGGTGGCTGGACTTCCTTCCAAGGGAAAGTCTTTATATTTCTTCTTTGGGGTTACGGAAGGGATTTTAAATTTTATTGCTCAAAGGATTGAAATTCAATCCTGCAAGCACACTGGTTGTAACCTTGGTGCTCTCCCCCACCCCCCCATGCTGCTGGACCTGAGTAGCATCACATGACCAGTCAGAGCATCTGATCTGTGGCTGGAGTGGCTGATCCTGCTAGTCCCCTACCCCAGACAACCTGACTGTTGTTCGGGAGCCTTGTAGCTGGATTTTTATTTTCTTTTTGTGTGTGGAGCACTATCCTAGATACTGGAGATGTAAACTCAAAGAAGACAAACTCATAGTTTTTCATTTGCGCATAGTTTGTAGGTGTTGCAAACAGCAAAAGAGCAAGTGAAAAATACAGGGGTAGCCAAGAAAAGGTGAAAAATTCTTTTGCTCAGAAGTTTAATTTGCATTAGACTGACATGCATGCTTATAACAACAAAAAATATACCTCAAATGGTACAACATTGCATGAGCTCTGAAGTAGGTAGAAAGCTGGTCTCCCTCCCAAACTTAACTATGTAAGTGGAAAGTACTTCAGCTACTTTTCGGTTATCTTTCCAGCTAGATTCCAAACATACACTAGCAAAACCTGTCTCCATCTCTCCATCTGAATAGCTCTTCATTAACATAAGTCACAGTATGCTATACTTTGATTTTTCTAACTAACCATATGTCTTAGAAGTATTTTCGTGGTTGAACTTAAATATCGGCCACATTTTGAAGCCAGCCACTTGGTAATCTAATAGTGATAGACATCCAGATTATTAACAATTTCTACTCTTATAAACAATAGCATGATGCATAACTTTATCTGTAACTGAGAGCCCGGCAAGCTACCGAGAGTATTCGATATGCCAGACACAGTAACAACAAAGTCTCCAATGAAGACGTTACTGGGCCCGCTCGAGCAAATCGACGATCAACGGGAGGGCCTTTACCTTTAACCTTTTATTTTACATGTGTTCAATCTATAGAAAGGCTAAATTGTGAGAGGTCAAATTGCCAGGTCAAATATTGCATATTTGTGATGTTGATTGATGATGCCAAGTTTCCCTCATAAAAATTTGGCCAATATGCAGCTCACTGGTAGTGTATGAGAATGTTTTTATCATACTTCTTGAGTTTTGGCCATTTTGTTAGTGAATGAAGAAGGTGTGTGGATGAGTTAAAATTCATATTTCTCTTCTGAGTGCAGTCAAATACTTTCATATGATTGACTTTTTGTATTCTACATTGAGCTATTGGTATATTCTTGATTTGTAGGAGAGCTTAGTTTTTATTAACTTCTGCATGTGAGATTGATTAGAAAATTTTTTCCTGTGTTTTATCCTTTGGTGAGATGTTTTCCATGTAAAATTTTGCTTTATGGTCTCTTGATGTTGTGTTATATTAGAAAGTCTTTTCTGCTGTAGTTTTTAAATATTCTTATAGTTTTATTTCTCACATTTAAGAATTTTATCCAGTAGAGATTAATTTTTTATAAAAAAGGAAGAAGAACCCCCAACTACATATTCCATGATTTTAATCCTGATATTCCAATGTCACAATATTTTAAAATTAAATAATCTCTCTTATTCTTTTTGATTTGTAATTTTTCACTTATCTTTGTCATATAGCTTGGTTTTTATTTATTTATTTATTTTCTTTTTGGGTCATGCCGGGCAATGCACAGAGGTTACTCTTGGTTCATGCGCTCAGGATTTATTCCTAGTGGTCCTCGGAGGGCCATATGGAATGCTGGGAATCGAACCTGGGTTGGCTGTGTGCAAGGCAAATGCCCTAACCACTGTGCTATTGCTCCAGCCCCTATAGTTTGGTTTTTAACTATGCTTTAAAAGTGTAGAAACAAGTAATAGGGGTCTGCACCTGCTGGTATGATATTTTTATATAGTTTTTATATAGTGTAGTTTTTAACCCTTAGTAGACCTCAAATCTAGCCTTTAAGATCCTAAATGCATTTCTAGAGTTCATGCATTTCTAGAGTTTTATTGGTAAACGATATGAATGTTTCTCTTATCACACACTTTGCTGTTTTCCAATTTCTTCTTTCTCTATGTTGTGATTAATTCTGTCACAACACTTTTCATGTGTTGCATAAATGCACCTTTTTCTACAGAACCCACTGTACTATGATGTCTAATAAAAGGATCACTATTTTTGGTGCTAATTTCCTCTTTTATTGCAATCATATTTTACTTCTTTGGTTCTTTGGTTGGTTGGTCTTATGGGTCACACCTGGCTGTGCTCAGGGATCAATCCTGGTAGTGCTCAGGGGACAATAGACAGTGCTAGGGATCAAAACCCGGTTTTCTTCAAGCACCTTACCTGCTATACAAACTCTCTGGCCAGTGGTTCTATCTCTCTGGCCCTGTTATTTTTTTTTTTAACATCATACCTGAACTTTTAGAACTCTAAGTGTTTTAACAGTAAACAACAGTAAAGTCGGTGATGTTTGCCAGGTATCGCAAGATGAGCACAAACACCATTGCCATGTTTTAGATCGATGAACCTCATTGGTGTGGGGGGGGTGTCATTTGAATTTGTTCTGATTTGTATCAATGCAGGTGCAATAGTTGATGAGTATCTGTATTTGGAAACACTTTTCACCCAATGACATTTCCCACCACAGGGTGCATATGTTCAGGAAATAGTGACTGCTTCTTCTTGAGTTAAAGATGTGGTGGTGGGTGTTGTGGCTGACCTACACAGTTGGAAAGCTGGACTGCAGGACCTTCACACCCCGTTGTCCTGGAAAGATTCTCAGTCTTTGCTTGATGTTCCATTTGTCCTGAATTCCTTTCTGTACATCTTCTCCCTAAATTATTGCTCTTCAGAAGTCAATGCAGAGGACTAGAGAGATATGTATAGAGGGTAGGGCACTTGCTTTGATGTTTCTGGCTCGGGTTCAGCCCCTGGCATCCCAGATGGTCTTTTAAATACCACCAGGAATGATTCCTGGGTGCAGAACCAGGAGTTACCCCTTGGCACTTCAAGGTGTGGCCCAACCCCCCCCCCCCCGCCATCTTTCCAGAAAAAAGTAGGTTCAGATATTATCCTTCTTTATAACTAATCTTTCCCTGGCATGTCTCTGTATTTTCCATATTGGGTTAGCTGCACCATTTCAGTGTTTTCATTTTAGATACAATTACACTAACTTATAAGGCATTTTTTTTAACTGAGAGGCTTGATTTCTCCAATATAAAAGCTATAT